CCTTTCAATGTATGATGTGAAAATGTGATTAATGTGATTTATATATACTATAGGCAATGGCGGGAAGTGACGAGGACCACGATTCAGATAGCTGGAGCGAATGAGTCTCCAAGGTAACCTATCTCTATAGATGTGACATACAGTACTGATCATACACTCACACTGTCTACTGTACAGAAGAACTGTTAGCTTCTTCTTAATTAGGCCTTTTTCTCACACTCTATTCTTGCTATCTCCTAATGTCTCTATTGGCACAAGTGTAAGTCGCTCTGTTTTTTTCCATCTATGTGTACACCTAATTTTTACTCTCTTTTTATATATAAAAAATAAAAATTATTCCTTGATGTTTCAGAGTCTAGAATCTAAATTAGTTTGCTGGAAATTTTACATGTGAATGAATGCATTATCATCATTATGCAACACAAAATAAAAATAAAAAGAACCTGAGAAGTTAACAATGGTTGGAAAACGTGGAAATTTGAAAAATTCAACGTGTGAGAATGTCCTATTAGAATTTTTATGTACTTCTGCATCATGTCATGTATGAACTAATTTTTCCAAGTTGGACAAAAAAAGTAGTGATAATAACAAAAAGTCAATACATAGAACATGGTAGTTGACTTTTCGTCCAAGTACACAAATAGTGTTGTACTAGTGTACGGTAAGGTATGATCCGATGAATATTCCGTACGATGACCGGTCTAACGCATGACTCATGACTCGAGTCTTGTGCATTCTGTACTTTTGCCTATAACGTCGACACGTTTCTTAGTAATGACGACTTTGTTTTCTCGGCGCATATATACCAAAATTACTGACCAGATTGGATTGAGAAAGGGTAATTTGGTTATTTTCATGAATAATAAATAGGTGCAGTCTCGAGTCGTCCAAATCTCACCGTCTCCGGCCACATACCATTTACGATGTACTCCTGTTTTTATTATTTGGTGAAAAATGAAAATCACTGTTCTCTTCTAGTGTACTCCTATCATTCTAATGATGTTTAAGAATATCACACATATTAAGAAATTCAATAAATAACAAAAAAAATTATGCATTTTCTACT